TTTCCTCTCCTGACAATGCTACACTCCAGTCCCCAGTCCCACCCCTCGAAGTCCAACACAAAAGTCATTTCCTCTGGAAAGTCATTCCTGATCATCCCAAAATCTCCCCAGAAGCATATCCTCTTCCAGACCAAATATTTCTTTAGGCATAGCACTTATTAGACCTGAATTCCAGGCATTTGTACTCAACAGACTTTTTAGATCTTAAGGGTGTTGCTAATCTTCAGAGATCAGAACCATCTATTTTCCTTATCTTTATGGTTCCTGGGACCTAATACTTTGTCTACTTAAATAACTAATCAATAAATATTCATTGACCTACATTGAGTTCCATTTTTTATCTCTATATTAGGTATGAACAGGCTAAAAGGTCTTGGAAGTGGAAGAAGTAAGAGTGGAATTCCATCTCCAGATTTAAAGTCTTCTGATACAATAAAGCACACTCCCTCATTTCACTCTCTGTTGAGAGTGGAGGCCAGAGTGAGTGGCTATGCCTAAGGAAGGGCACAGAGACTCTGAGAGGGGTAAGTGTGCTGATCCAGAAAGGTTTCTATAGCAACAGAGACCTTGCCTCCAGGCACTAGGAAAAAACCAACACCACCATCCCAGGGTATAGAGGGGGAGTATTTTTGCCAGATCATATGCACTTTCTCCCCTTTTCTCCTCATCACCTGGTTCAAGAGCGACCATTGCCCCCTCTCCCCAAGCTCCAGGAGGAGCAAATGGGCCTGAAGCCGGATCTGGCCAAAGAAAGTCAACCCTAGGGCATACTAACTCCAACAGCAAAGAACAGCTCTCCATCTCCTGAGATTGTCAAGCTGGTGTAATACGCACCTGGAGCTCCTGGTGGTCCCCTTCCCACCACATGGGGTGGGCCTGCCTAAGGAGGAATGCAGTACAAAAGACAGCATCGCTGGGAGCTGGAGAAAGAAACAATACCTTGATAGCCTCTAGAGTCCTTGGATCCTACCATGCCTGAAATCAGTGCATCTTGGACTCCTCATATGAGGTTATAATTTTATATTCTCTCTCTCTCTCTCTCTTTGCTTAAACCATTAGGTTTCCATCACTCACAATCAAAGGAGTTCTGGGTGAAACAAGGGGAAGCACTCTGTACTAAGAGGCAGGCTCCCTGCTGTGACCAGAGGTGAACTCCTGAGACTCTTTCTTCATCTGGTTACATGAAGCCACTGGAGCAGGTTGATTCCTGAAGTTCCTCCTAGCCCTGACATTCTTGAAGTCACTCTAATTTGACGTGCCACTCTCTAACCAGAAGGAAGAACACAATTCTACAGCTGACCTGCCAAACTGTGATAATGCCCAATGCTTCTGTGTTATTTTGTCTCTGGTAGTGGTTTTGCTCTGGACGATGCTGGAATAGTGTGACACTCTCTCATTCCCTCACTGGGGGATCTTGGGATCCCAGATGATAAAGTTATGCCAAATTACCTTGGTTCAAGCCAATAAAATGGGGCTGGCCTCAGTGGCCCTAGGGGCTCTGTTTTGACCATCTGGTACCCAATAAGCAGTGTTAAATTAATTAAACAAGGAGGCCATTAGACTGAGATGGCTCTAATACCACAGTAGCCTAAACCTATAAATGCCTGAAGACTAAGAAACCAAAACCTAAGGACAACCAATCACAAACAGCCCAGTAGGCTTTAACAGCCAATGAAACCATTTCCTTTCTCGGCTTCTGCACCTTCTCCATTTGTCTTTCCCATAGCTGTTGTTGGCCGAGCACTCCGAACGCTTCCAGGTTGGCACTGCATGGTTCACACTGATGTTGGCTGAAATAAACTTAAACTTCTGAACATGCCTCAGTGTAACTTTTAGCAGCAGAAACCTGACTGTGTTACCTGGGCAAGAGTTCATGATCCACCACAAGCGAGCCACTTAGATCTTATTCTACACCAGCCATTGTTACCATTAAAAGCAAAGACGAAGAGGGTCTCTGTCCCCCAGACACCGACTACAGTTCACTGGGAAGACAAGATACACACAGGAGAGGTGCGGTCATGCCAGTTGTGGTCAGTGTAATGAGCAGCTATCCCTGCACAGAGACACCCTCCTTCCTTCTTCTGAATTTAGGAGCAAGGTAGGTGACCCTCTCTGGAACTGAAGCCAAGAGGGACAGGCCCCGCCATCTGCAGAAGTAATCCACTTTTCTCCGTGTCATTTGGCTGTTGTTTGCCTTTGAACCATAACCCCTTCCCGGCTACTCCTCACACCCCCACCACACCCCCGACACACACACACCCTTTTTTCTGCCTCCTTCCACTTCTTTCCGCTTGTCTTCTCATTTCTTCTCCTTTCTGAGCCTCTCTCCACCCTTTCCTTTCCAATGTGCCTTTCTATAGAAATAGGCCTCTAATGTGACACCCTGGGGTCCTGCAGAAAGTGTGCATTGAGGGGCAGGCAGGGGGTTGGAGGCATTGAGATTGAGTTCTTTAAATAACACTTAATGAACAATAAACACAATCCAGTCCAGCCAAACCCATACTTAGCTACTAAGTACCAGTCAATGGCCCATCTGTCATATTGTTAAGACCTTTAGAAGTTGTTTAACAAAATGTTAAATGAGATGACATTCAGCAGGCTGCAAAATGCTTGACTGCCTAATGCAACCCAGAAGAGGTGGCCTGGTGGCAGTGTTTGATATAATGCTTTGTATTTCCTTCCCAAGAACCCAAGAGCAGAAGGTCTCCCTGCCTGTCACTTCCTATCTAAGTAAAGTGAGCCTGGGGTGGGAAGGACACGATTACCATTGGCAAGGAGGCCCGGCCGGCTGATGAGGTGCTTTTCTGAGGAAGCATGACTGAGAGGGGGCACCTGGAAGTAAAGCCAGTGGAGAGAAAAAAATAATTCATCTGGAGTTTCATTCTTCCCTTCCTTGTCCCCAGTGGACCCCACCTCTCTCTCTCTTGGCCTGGAGGAGAGAAGGTAGAGGTGGTAATGAGTGTCGACTTTTTCTAAGAGATGAAATATGAAGCCAATTACTAAGGGGAAGATTTCCAGCAAATTGGCTCCTGATAGCTCACATTTATCTGCTTTAGATTTGCATAGTTGGGAAGGAGAGGGCCTCTGCTTTGATCCAGGTAACAAAGACAGAATCGGTTCAGTAGGAAGGGAAGGGAAGGACTATTCAAGTTACCTGCAACCCTCCTATCCAGAGTTCAACAATTAAAGGCAATAAGAAACAAATCAAAAATCGCACAAAAAAACGTTTTAAGCGGAGAAAAAAAGGATCTTCCCCTGTGGCTGATGGTATTGAATACTGAATGAGGCCCCTGGGTAGGGTTACACAAAGAAGTAAAAGCCCCAGAACTTTTATAATAACAAAATTCTTTCCTGGAGAGAAAGCTTTCAAATTCTTTTCATTTTCTTCCTCCTTCTCAACTTAGAATTCCCTGGCCCTTACCCTATGTTCAAATATTTACTTCAAGGAAGGGACTAAATATTCAGCAAATTTAGCCATCCCTCAGACCCCTACAGGAAATATAAATTGTATTCTTACTTTGCTGGTTAAAAAAATAAAATCTAATCTTACAGAAATGAATCTGCCACCTATAAAGTCACCTTACACAACTCAGCAATAAACAGACAACCCAAATAACCAACTTGAAAATGGGCAAAGGTTTCAAACAGACATTTCTCCATAGAAGACATGTAAATAGGCAATATGCACACATGAAATAATGAAATGATGCTTGATATTGAGACAGGGACCATGGGCTTAGTCAGAGTAGGGTGAGGGCCTCCGGAAAAAGCTAGGCAGGATATTTATAGTCAAAGCAATGTAACAATGTCCCTATCAAAACTCTGTGTTCAGCATTATGCAAAGTCAAGGTCACACTAATTCTCTAGGGTAAAGATACCAGACTAGGAATATAGACATCTTCAGTGAGATCAGTAAAAGGTTAAAAGGCCAGGGCAACTCGGCCTGGAACGTTTGAGTGTTCCACAAGGGTATCTCAGCATAACCGGTGACTTCACTGTAAACAGCCCTAGCAAACAGACAACAACCCAGCCCACCTTGAGGGCAGGGCAGGTGGTACAAGTCCACACCCTGAGCCCTCAGTTCACAAAAATCCTCAACTGCCTATAAATCCCCTAGACAACGCACCACCCCAGGCTCTCTTGTTCCCTCCTGGCATGAGCCAGGAGCTCTTTCCTCTCACTTTATTTCTAAATAAAAGCCTCTCCCTGGCTCTCCTACTTTGGGCGTTGTGAAGCTCATTCTTCGACTTCACAAACAAGAACCCCGGCATCAATATTATTAGCTATTAGGGAAATGCAAATCCAAGCCACAGTGAAGGTACCACTTCACATGTACTAAGATGGCTATGATCAAAAAGACAAAAAACAAGTGTTGGTGAGGATGTGGAGAGATTGGAGCCCTACCATTGCTGATAGGAATGTAAAGTGGTAAAACCACACTGAGCAATAGTTCCCCAAAATATTAAACTGGAGTTACCACAGGAACCAGCAGTTCCCCTCCTATTCTCCCAATTCTCAAAGGAAATGATAACGTATCACAAATGTTTACAGAGGCATTATTCTTAATAGCCAAAAAGTAGAAATAGCACAAATGTCCAACAACTGATGAAAGATAAACAAAATCGGTAATCTGTACCATGGTACATGCCATAGCATAGAGAAATTTTGCAAACATGATGCTAGGTGAAAGAAGCCAGAGACAAAAAAGTACACACTGAATGATTCTATTTTATATGAACTGTTTAGAATAGACAAACCTACAAAGACAGAAAGATGAGTGGCTGCTCAGGACTGGTGCGGGGAGGATGGCAGCAGGGAGGATGGTTTTGAGGAGTGACCGCTAATGGGTACAAGGTTTCTTTTGGGGGTGATAACAATGTTCTTAAAGTAATTTAGTGATGTAAATATACTAAAAGCCAATTTTAAGTGAGTGAATTACATTGCAATAAAGCTGTTTAAACAAGGAAAAAGTAACCAAAACTTTTTTTTTTAATCCCTGCATTAGTTTTCCACAGCTGTCATAAAAAAGCACCACAAACTGGGTGACTGAAACACCAGAACTGTGTTATCTTGCAGTTCAGAGACTAGCAGTCCGGGTCCGAGTTTCTGTGGCAGGGTTGGCTCCCTCTGTGGGCTGTGAGGAAAAATTCGTTGTATGCTTCTCCCTAGATCTGGCAATTTGCTGGCAATCTTCGGCACCCCTTGGCTTGTAGAGGCATCACTCTGATCTCCGCCTTCATCTTCAGAGTGATCTTCCTCTGTGTCTGTTTCCAAATTTCCCCCTTGTATAAGGACATCAGTCGGATTGGATTAGGACCGACCTGAATGACCTTGTTTTAACTTGATAGACTCTGTGAAGACCCTATTCCAAATAAGGTGTTATTCTGTAGTGCTGGAGGTTATGACTTCAACATATGAATTTAAGAGGGACACAGTTTAACCTGTAACGATTCCATTCAAAGTATTTAAAGTTAGCCAAGTCTCTCCACAAGCTTACAACTGACTGGGAGATCTTAAAATCTAGCCTAGCCTTGAAATTTTCCCTCTGATGTCCCTTGTTAGCCACTAAGCCTGGACTTTCTCAGGGAATCATCTGCGAGACAGTGTATCAATCAGGCCAGCCTAAGTTATAATACAGTGCAAAAACTTCAAAATCTCAGTAGCTTATGACAATAAAGACCATGTGGATCATTAGAGACTCTTCATAGTCTTGCAGTGACTCCAGCTGACAAGGCCTTAACCATTTGCCACAATCTCATGTTTCATGATCTGTAAGCAAGGAAGGGAAGAGCTGGGAGACTCACTTACACACTGTCTTAAATGCTTTGACATCGTACTTGCACTCAAATGGCCAAAGTAAGTCATGTGGCCATGCCTAACCTCAAGGGTCTGGGCAAGTTCCACCTTCCAGGGAGCTTTGATGGGAAGAGCCAGCAGTCGTGAGAAGCAGCCTTGGTGTCTGCCACAGACAAGATCTGAGGGCTCAAGATGGCCCTTTTTGTCAAAAAGTGGCTTTTCTCCTGAGCCAGTAAAAACTCCGGCTCAGTCACGTACTTTTTTTTTTTAATTGTGATTTTCTGTCATTATTTAGAGGAAAGGACACTGGACCAGTAAATAAGCAACTCATCTCCTAACTCTACTTCCCCAGAAAGTCACTTCTCAAGTATTCACTCAGAAAACACTTATAAAAGGTCTTTTAGGGCCTAGCATCATGATTTACCTTAGGAATAGAGGAGTGAACACAAAGTCTCAGTTCCTTCATCTGACATGGAGAGGGTTGGTTCAGGCCACAGCCCTTCCGCCTTGTGCCATAAATGAGTCACAGGTTTGCCCAACCTTCTCAGCTCAGCTCTCAGTGCAACCAGGGGCCCCCACCCCTCCCAACTAGTCAACATCAACCATAGGCAGCCTCACTCATATACCCCCGTGTGCTGTGCCAATATAATTTTCCATGTCTACCACGAAGTGAAAAAAGTTAGGGAATTTTGGTCTAGACCAGGGATCAGCAGACTAGGGTTCCCAGGCCAAGTCCAACCTGCTACCTGTTTTTATATAGCCTGAAAGCTAAGGGTGGTTGGGAAAAAAATTGTAGTGATTGAAAAAAACATACATGAATGGTTTTAAAAAAACAGTTTATGAAACACAAAAGCATATGAAATTCAAATTTTAGTATCCATAAATAAAGTTTCATTGAAATATAGTTGTATTAGTTTCCCCAAAGAAACAGAACCAATAAGATATATATAGATATGCAGAAGGAAATTTATTACAAGGGTTTGGCTCACATGATTACGAAAGCTGAGAGGCCCCATGACTTGCTTGCTATTTGGAGGCTGCAGCTCAGGAAAGACAGTGGTGTAGTTCGAGTCCAAGCCTGAGACCTGAAAACCAGGGAGCCAATGATGTAAGACTGTTCCAAGTCCAGGAGCGCTGATGTTCACGGGCAGGAGAAGATGGGTGGGTGTTCCAGCTCAAGCAGAGAGGAAATTCACCCTTCCTCCACCTTTTTGTTCCATTCCGGCCCTTGATGGATTGGATAATGCCCACCCACATTGGTGAGGGCAATATTCTTTTCTCGGTCTACCAATTGCACTGCTAATCTCTTCCAGAAACACTGTCACAGACACACAGATTAAAGAAATAATGTTTTACCAGCATTTTGGCATCCCTTAGCCCAGCTGAGTTAACACATAAAATTAACCATTCCAACAGTCACATTTATTTATGTCAATGCTGTCTATGACTGCCTTTGGACTATAATAGCAAGACTTGAGTAGTTGCAGCAGAGACCAAATGACCCACAATGCCTAAAAAGGTTACTATCTTGTCCTTTACAAAGAAAATTTGCCAACCCCTTTGCTTCACAAACTATTATTTACATACAGTTCAGGACATACTGTTAAAACACTGATTATTATTCTACACTACTCTTATTCAACACCTATGGGATGGAGTTTAAGATTCTGCTTTTCTACTGTTAGGAGGAAAATGTTTTCTTCTAGCAACTTAGGTTCAAGTGGTCAGGGGCCTGTGAATTAACTGACAAAATACAGATTAACAGGAGAAAAACAAGTGCACATGGGATTTACTCAGCAATGAATGACTCACTGAATATCCAGAGTAAAAGTTTATATACCAACTTAACAAAAAAGCAGCAGGCAGGGGATGGGGTGGGGGTTGGGGAGGATTTACAGCTTCAGTGGGAAAGTATGAAAGGTCCTATTGGAGTTCTTTTAATGCTAATGGGAATACGCAGTCAGTCTGTCTCCTTCCTAGAATTCGAAGGTAATTCCTTCAGAGGAGAGTTAATGGCAGCTGTATTCTCTAGAAGCTCTACTTGAGTTCACTAGAAAAGTTCAGATAAGATTTCAGATGTTTTCACTTTCAAATAATCTTTATGCCAGAACTGTGAGTTCTTCACTGCGGAGCTCCAACATGATGCTGCTGCCACTGCTGGTCCACAGACCACAGTTTGAGGTGCAATTGCCTATAGTGCGTCTCAGAATACCCCCCAGCTCTCTAACACTGGGATTCTACATTGCTCTGAGGGGAGAAAATACACTGTCAATTATCCTGACCAGGCCACCCGCTATAAGAAATGATAGACAGGACAAAGGCAGTCAGATAGAACATGGTTCTATCATCCCAGTTCTTACAGAAAAGCAATTCTTCAGGCTAGTATCAACACCCAAAGCCTCGGGGCTGCCCACATCCAGCAGGCAACAGCAAACCCTGATTGCCCTAAGAATTGAGGGCAGCCCTGCTCAGCAGGCCACATCCTACTGGGGAATCTATTATCCTCCAGTCTGAGATGCCAACCAAGCCCAGCCCCCCTCTAGCCCTGCCCCATGATGAGCTGGGCTCCTCACCCTAGGCTAGTCCCGTCCCACTGGTGCCAAGAGCGTAATATCCTGTTGTTGGTCTCAATAAGAAAAATCCATTTGAAATGGAATCCCTGGGTATCAGTCCAAAACCAACTCTTCATTAAATACTTTCTGATACTAGAGTTTCTGCTTTTATATAAGAACCACGCCCTCTGCCAGTCAGACCACTGCCTGAAGCACAGCCAGATGGGAGACATTCAATAAAGTTGTTAGCTCTTCCTCCATAATCCTGAGATTTACAGTGTTAATTTAAAGCCCTTAGACATCTGTGACACCATACTACCTTGGCCAATATTTCCTAAAGGAGCTATATGGGTTTTCTGAAGAATTCACTGTTAGATCAATATTAGCTTTAAAGATAAAGCTGCACCCTGAAGTTAAAGACACCACATTGCTAAACCATGCTCTAATAATTCCGTGATGGGAAAAATTGCTTAGAGGTAAGGGCCAGTCCTAGAAAGGTTTGGAAGCTTACTCAAGTTGCTCCCACTTTCAAAGGAGGGCAGGAATAGGAGACTTTGATTTTATTTCTAAATTAATGTCAAAATATGCCTTTCCCACTCTATACAACAATTACAGATACAGATTGTGTGCATAGGGAGGGAGGAGAATCTGACTGTAATAATGGAAAGAACTTGGACAAGGAGCCTCTGGAATATGACTAACAGAACTTTCTGCAGAGATGGAAATGTTCTATTTCTGTGTTGTCCAATATGGTAGCCACTGGGCACATGTGGCCATTGAGTGTTTGAAAGGAGGCTAGTGAGACTGAAGAACTGAAGTTTTAATTAATTTAAATTTAAATGGCCACATGTGGCTAATGACTACCATGTTGGACAGGACAGCTCTAGACGCCATTGCAAGGATGTGACCTTGGGCAAGTCATTAAACCTCTCTGAGTTTTCATTTCCACTTTAGAGAAGTTGAGAGTAAGAATAAGAAATGTCTGTGGTTCCTTGGCATTGTTTTAATCTATAATCCATTAATAAATACAACAGTTGCTCTTCTAGCTGGGGTGGATTCAGATCTTTGACCAAATTTAGGAACCTTTCTCTCTGTCGCTGTCTCTCTTCCTCTTGTCTTTCACAACATGCTAGTGACCCAGCATGGATGGAAGCCTCTCCTGGCATGTAATCTAAGTACATAACCCAAAACCAGCTGTCTGCCCAATGGTACCACTCCCACCTATTAACGCAAGAAAAAAAATTAACTTCTCTTGTTCCATTTTGACAATAACAAGTCCTGGCTGATCTCCACCATGAGCTCTGTGTTATAATAAAGACGATTTTACCTGCACACTGACCAGAATTCTCCAGTGTGGGGTTACAGGGCAAAGTCTGACAGTGCCACAGTGCCCACGTGACCTGGCCCCCAACTGGAGTGGCCCCACTCTGCGATCAGAGCTGTCACTTACAAGATTTGAAGGGAGCTGGGAAGATCAATTACAGAAATGATTAGCATGTAAATAGCACCAGCAGGCTACCGGCAAGTACTCTCTCTGTAAGGACAGCAGAGGCCAGCTGAGCTAGGAGCAAATCATCTTGCTGTGAACTGAAGAAAAATCATTAGCCTTTTTGTCAGTGGAAAGCACATTTCTGCCACTATTTTAAGTATGTTATTCTGAAACATTTTAGTCAAGTGGTAAGCACTGGAGACTCAAAATAGAACAATCAAAATCAAAGGCCAACTATCATTTTATCCAAAAGACATAATGGATTCTCTGTGTTTCATTTATTCATTTATTCTCACTCATGTTTTTTTTTTCATTGTTTTTTTCCTGCACCTTTGGTGTTCTTGTATGACTCAAAGCTTTGATTCTCAAACATCACTAGCATGTACCACATGTTCACCAGTCCAGGGCACATTCTTAAAAATAAGGACACTGTAATCAGTTCTTCATAAGGCTAAATGTATTCAACTTCAAGGAGATTCCTATTATGTTTGTCCTACTTTTTGGTATTAAAAATTCCTTTCTTTTATGAAATGATTGTGACTGTACATGGGTGCTTGTTTTTGCTTTTTGTAAATACCCATAGTGGCAAAATTAACACTTAACAACTGGCATGCTTGTATTATGTCTGCTTTGCTGGGTAGTTAAATTCCAGTGTCTGGGATCCTCCACCTTGTATCTCAGGAAAGGTATTCCAGCTCCCACCAGGGCTGTGGAGGCCATGGTCCACATAAGAGGACTAAGCACAGAGCACCTTAGACTCTCCACTTCTCTCTGTTCCCATGGGGTAAAAATGGTTCACCTAACCCCAGACATAAAAGAAATAAGACTTTTCTGATTCACAGCCTTGCTAGCAGCACTACCCCAGTGAAATCTGCTTAGCACTGGACAGTTTTGAATTTTTTTAAGATGTCTCTTGACAGGACACTAAGCTAAAAAAAAAAAGGTACAATTTAAGGTGACTATAATGAATGTTCTATTCACCCATCTATGCTTGACAGAGTTCATGCCCCTCCAGACAAGAGTATTCACAAATGAAAGTGGCCCTCACATCACCTCCATGCTTCCTAAAAGAAATAAAACAAACCCCAACTGTGTAAACTTGCTGTGTTAGGAAGAGCAAAGTACCATCAGAGAGAGGACTGATCGTCAGTCCTGGGGAAGACATGCCCTCAGGATGATCAGGATAATGTTTATACCTTCAAGAAGCAATAGGGGGGTATGAACGCGTGCAAGTGTGCGGAGGATGGATAGAGTCAAAGAATAGGGAAGCAAAGAGAGCTGCAGCAAAGAAGCTGAGCCCGAGAGGGCTCTTAGGACAATGACAAGGACAGACGGGGGCTGCAGCATTTTAATACTCAGACCAGTCACAGAACCTCAGAGGGGAGAAGGAAGTTTTTCTTCCCCTACAGTTCCAACAGTGTTGAAAAGCATAATCACATTATCATTTTAGTGCCTAAAATAATCCTGGGCTTAGAAGTATACACTCAGGAAATCAGCCGAAAGAATTCTGTTGACTCAGAAAAATAACAAAAACCAAACCTCTCCAGGCAGCTTAGGAGATGTGAGCGTGACGTTGCAGGGCTCTGTGTGGCTACCAGAACATCGCATCGTGGTATGGCCACCAGTTCTGCTTCTCAGTAGATAGAACCAACTCATTAACAGATTGGGCTTAAGAATATGAGCAGGGGATGGTACACGCTTGGACAGTTTTTATGCCTATAAACAAAAAGGGTTTTCTTTGTCAAAAAGGGACTAAATATCCAACACCACCATATTTTATCACAAATTATATATGACCCAGAATTGGCTTGAGTCAAAATGAGTAACCATATGTTGTTACCTAATTCTCAGATAATTCCTTAATCTTTTCCTCCTCCTTGAAAAGTCTTGTCCTTAAATTCATCATGAAACACAGCAAAAATGATGAACCACTGGATATTTTTGCAAACTTCTGACTTCACATGGATCTTGACAGCTTTAGCCAATTTCTCACAAAATCAATGGTCTTTATCATGACTAATAGAACTTAACAGTTACATAGATTTCCACCTCCTTCTGGTAATCTACATTCATTCTCCAAAAAAGCATATTCTAGCCACAATCCTACAATATTGCTTTGGACTGAAATAATGAATTACAATATGACAAATAGTAACTAAAAGACAAGAATAAGACCCTCTGAAGTCTAATATTGTGCTAATATCCAACTTACAGAAAATTACAAGCACTCACTCTTTGTACAGTAAAAGGAAATGCTGGCTGACATGGTAGTCCACTACCACATGGAGATACAGATGGTAGGTGAGAGCTGACAGACCAGAAATGTAGTCCTGAGCCTTCTGTCACCACAGGTCAGCAGTAGGGCCAGGGAGAGGTTTGCACAATCAGATGTGAGTCTTGGTTTATAACCTAGGAGACTGTTTTGAAGGTGAGAGACAGGCAGGTTACTCATGAAATCTATGAAGAACCCACATGAATAATTCCAGGGAAAATACCTAAGGCTAGTAATAAATCTGAGTCAGAAAATAGAAAGACAGATGTCAGAGTCAGGGACACATTCTGTTTTACATTTATCCACTTGTTTTCTATTTAATAAACAAAGGATTATGTGACCAAAAATGTCTGAGCATGTGTTGGATTAAAGAATTTTTTGTTTTGTCATTTGACCACATGTTCACTCTTAATATACTGGTGTCCAATCATGATTCTCCAAAAGGTATACGCAGTACATGGAGTTTCTAAATGCAATTGACCAGGTACTCTGTTCCTTAAAGCATCCATCAGGCCATGTGGTCTACACAACAGCTTTTGGGAATCCCAAATCTGGTTACAATATCCGATTTTAAAGATAAGAACACTGAGTCCCAAGAAGCTAAGAGATTTGGCCAGCATGGTATGGCCACAGAGATGAAGAGCAGGAACTAGAACCATCTGGAATGCCCAGTGTGTGGTTCATCACAGCACATCATGTGGCCCACCTTTCTCTCCTCTTCCTGCTGAAGCCAACCTTCTTTAGACACTGATGTACTCAGGAAATAACAGCTTCACTTTTCTTACTTAACAACAACCAAACCCCAAGATATCTCTGCCAAACCTTTCCCACAGGAGACCCTCCACTGTGAGCTTCTAGTTATTCCTCCCACCCAAGTTCAGTCAACAATTACAATTTCAGTTACAACAGGGACATTCTTTCAATTCCAGAAAAGCTCTTTGGTGATTAATAGCTGATTAGTTCTTCCTGCCAAATATCTGCAAGCTCCGTTACTTAGACAAAGTGCTAAGTGGTGAGCAGATGTCCTTGGAATAACCAAGCCTGAGAGGATTTTCCTCTTGGTGGGATTCACTACCTGTTACCCAGGACCTCAAATCATGACGGGCTCAGAGCAGGTCCTCCTGAAAGAGAGCACAGCAGGGGGCAGGAGGAGCTCCAGATTCTTGGGTCCTGGGGTCTGCATTCTAGATCCTTCTCTTCCCAGGCCAGGAAAGACTGTGTACCTGTTTCAGTACCATCCTACGTTTGTGCACATCCTATCTTCCAGACCAAACTGTAAGCTTTTGAAGACCAAGGATATCAGCTTCCACATTTTCCACCTGACGTGATGGGTCACTCGATGAGAGCTCAGAATCCTCCAGTGGCCTCCCCACCCCCACTGCTGACCCAAGGTCTTTAGGGTAACATTCCAACATCTGAATTTGGCATATGAGCTCCTTCATCATTTGGCCCCTTCCTACTTTTCCTGCAATGTTCCTCCCACCTTGTCCCTACCCTACCTCTAGCCATACCAAGTCACTGAGGTTCCTCAGAGGGCCACACTTCTACCTCTGTGGATGTTCTCCCCTCTCCTTGGAATGAATTTTACCTATTTATCTACCTGGAAGGCTCTAGACTTGGCAGCCCATAAACACAGGAGCCTTTATTTCTGGTAAGTGAGGTCCCCGGGCCCCAGGGCTTATATAGTCCCTATAACTTTGTCATGGTGCTATGACACTACCAATGTGTCTATATCCCCCACAACTTGAACTTCCTCAAGGGCTCCTTGCAGATGGGATTGCATCTCATTCACAGGGTACGTCCTGGAGAGCGCAGCACCTGCACGTAGCAGATGTGGCAGCCAGCCTCCAAGGAGGCCCATGATGATCATGGCCTGCAGATGTGCGTGCTCTTGTGTGATCTTCCCGTTGTGTGTGGGGTGGGCTTTGTGACTCACTGTTAATGACTAGAATAAGGCCGAAGTAACACTGCTCCTGAGACTAGGTCACAGAAGGCAGTGTGGTACTTCTCTCACACACTTGGGTCACCTGCTCCATGGAAAGCTAACTGCTACGTCATGAGTGGCCCTGCGGAGAGGCACACGCAGTGAGGAGCTAAAGCCTCCAGCCAACAGCCACATGTGTGAGCCTGGAAGAGGATCCTCTAGCCCCAGTGGACCCTCAGGTGTCTGTGGGTCCGCTGACTCCTTGTGAGAGACGGTGAGCCAAAACGCCCCAGCTAAGCCACTCCCAGACTCCTGACCCACAGGAACCAGAAGATAATAAATTTCACTGTTTTAAGCTCCTAATTTGAAGATTTGTTGTTCAGCATTAGATAACTAATATGCATTTGGGTACCTGGAGATGGAGTTTGGCTGTAACAAAAACCCAGAATGGGGGAGTGACTTTGGAACCAGGTAGCGGGCAGAAGCTACAAAGCTACAGGATTTAGGGAAGAATGTTAACGAGAGCTTCAAGTGCCTTGAACACACTGTTTGGAGAATTTGGGACTTTGAGGAGACTACCAGTAAGGAAAATGAGGAACCTCTTTTTGGAAGTGGACGAGAGGGGATCCTTTTTATGGAGTGGTAGAAAACTTGGCAATAGTCTCGCCTGCAGTAATATGGAAAGCAGAAAACAGAACTAATGAAGTGGGTGATCTAGCAAAGGAGATTTTTCAGCCAGCATGTTGATGGTGCTACATAGTTTGTTTTTGCTGCTTTTAATAAAATGCAAGGAAAAGAAATGAGCTAAAAAAAGAACTGATCCAACAAAATGTGCCCAGATTTGCTGGTTTTGAATATTCCCAGCCTCTCCAGATGGCAAACTATGCTGCAATTAAGAAGTGGCTTCCAAACAAAGATTCAATCAGGGCACCCAGGAAAGCAGAGACCAAAGATGAAGCAAACAGTATAGCTACAAACTCTCTTGTTAAGACCTCAGATCTTAAAAGATGAATCCCTTGTTAAGACTAAGAGAACCTACAAGGTGAAACCCTTTGGCCTAGAGTACACATGGGAGAACCTTGCCCTGCACTTTGTCAATGACTTTAACACTATAGCTCACCCTGATAAAGCACAATATTTTTAAAAATATTTTTAGCTGCATTTCCCACATTTGATTAACATAACACCAGTGGGAATTAGACAGAGCAAGTATGAATGAAGAATCAACCCAGAGAGATGGGTGATTTGTCCGATATCTCATAATTTAGTCATGAAAGAATCTAACTCCCAGTCGAGTGCTCTTTCCATATCATCAGGCCACTTCATTCAGTAATTAGATGACTGAAAGTACATCTGAAATTATGGGTAGCAGAAAAGTCCTGAAGGCACTTACACACAGATATTTCAACATTTTGCTTTTAAACTGTATTTTTCATCTTAGCTGAAGTCTGTAATATTTACATCACTTAGATCTGTCAGCTGATTTCTCAACTCTCAGGTCCTGGGTCCACATGTCCTCTGACTGTTTTCACTTTGCTTAAACCCTGATGAAGAACAGCATGTCCTTGATTTCCTCAAAGATGAATCTACTTGCAGAAGCATTAGTGACCAATGCACCCTTTATGGAAGCCTGCACACAAGGCACAACATTCCGTGGCAAGCAATGCAAAAATTCCCATGAAATATTTCTTTCCTTCCAATTTTTCCTTGGATTTGCTTCAAAATAAAGGGGGAGGAAGAAATACACCCAAGATATAGATGTAAAATGAAATTGGCCGTGAGTGGTGATGGGACACAGGGGTTCATTATACTGTTCTGTCCACTTTGAATATGTTTCAAATTTTCATGATGAGAAGTTAAACGAATAAACACAGTCCCCCCACCCCTCACAGCTATGAAGGCCGTGGGGTTCCTCTTATGCTTCTCCTCTCTCCATCCCTCAGATTCTTTCCCCTCAACCTTCAGAAACTTGAACTTCCTCCTTTCTCAAGCATCCATTCTTCCCTCCACCTCCTGTAGACTGGAGACCAAACTAATCGCTGAATTCAGCAAAACAAAGGACTCCCCATGTTACAGGAGCCACCCTCCTTGGAAAGCAGTTTAGTGACCATCTTTTGTTACTTGAGCATACTTTGAGGGCTTAATCCCCAGCCAAAGTGGTTTATCAAAGTAATTCTCCCAAACACATAGAGTGCTTTCCTCAAGAATACTGGTGAATAAAATTTTCTCCATCTTGTTACACTTATTATTCGGAATTCCTTTGCACTTTGTTCAGAAGAAACCAGTCATTGAAACTTGATTTTGAGAACCAAAGCTCGTATTCAACAACTTCTGAAAAGAGTGGTTAATTCTATTTGAGTTTCTCTCCATAGCCCCATTCAAAACAGGGTGTGTGTATCTAAGAATAAATGGGAGTCACCGCACAAGAGGTTTATTATCAGAGCTAAGCTTCGGGAAGCAACTCCCACTATTTAATGCTGAAAGGGAGAAAAAGAAAGAAGGAATACAGGCCACAATGAATGGGAGGCGGTGGCTAAAGAGGAAGAGGGGAATGGGTAAGAAGGAGGAAAAGGGGACAGAGGGGAAAACATTGGAAGAGTCCCTGTTTTCTGCCACATAATACAACACTCTTCACTGTGTCAGTTTGGAAGAGGGAAAGAAAATTATCCATGCAAATCAGAAAGTCAGCTCTGATTCCTTTCTCCCCCTTCCCAAAGCCTTTGCCCTTCTTTTGGTATCTTCATTTAGTCTGGGTTTTGGTTTCTACCACTTCTGTGGAGTTTTGTAATATCATCACTGCCTCTTTTGGTTAAAAAAGGTAAATTTAGTCCCAAGGACCCTGAAGACCTGTACAGGGACCTATAGCCCCTTATTCTGCCTGCACAGAGTAGGCATTTGATGTTCAAATCAGCCTGAACCTATTTTGTTCTTGTTTTTGTTAAAGTTTTTGTGAACCTCACCAGTTTTCCTGCTGCTGCACCTGCTTAGCAAAAATGCCTGAGAAACAGAGAGACTGGTCGCTCCAAAGGGTCCAGGGGCCAGATTATGTCGACAATTCCCTGCCCTGAAAGGAGCCGGCCTGACCGGTCCTGTGTTGTCAAACAACAATTGTGACTTC